TGGGTTTTGGGGGGGTTCGGGAAGGTCATGCCAAGGTCGTGTCTGCCACTGTTTGGGGGTTGGGGAGGGTTTTGTCGGGGTGGCTGACAAATGCAACAGAGGTGAACTACACACACGACGAAACGAGTACAAGATTGAAAGTATAAACACAATTTTTCACACTCATTGAGTCATTCTCCATCATCTGCAAGTCTGCAAGAAACAATCATTGCACAAGTTTTGAAAGTGTAACATTACAGGCAAATGAAAGAACACGGCGAAACAGTTGCGCTGTACACACACAACAATAAAAGACACATGCACGCTGGACTCAGTCAAATGGTGTGCGAAAGAACTGTCGAATCGTTAGAAACATTGATACAAAAATAACAGGAGAAACAAAAAATGAAACTGTGAGCACTGCACTTGCTGAGCCCGTGTCTGAAGAAATACTCAAAAAAGTGCAATCCTCTACAACATCGATGATAAAATAAAACAAGAAACAAAAACAAACTGCACCCGTGCATGGAAATAGTATACAATAGTCTAACCACCTATACAAATACAAATGCAGTCATGACGACCTGCACAGACCACTACTACGAACACAAGGCCTCGTCTCAAGCACTACAGACTACTCCTACTAACACAAGGCCTCGTCTCAAGCACTAAATATACTGTACACTACTACGAATCAGAGGATGAAAGAAGACTAATGGTGGAACTATGCATCATCGTCGTCCACAATGTCCTTCCTCCTCCTCTGCGACACCACACCTGTCACACCATCCCCACGACCTGTGCCGCCTGCCGACGCGTGCGTAATATCCGGAGCATGAATCTCCCCCTGTGACGCCGCCTCAACCCCTCCCTGTGGTCGAAGAAGATCGTACATGGAAACCCTCCTCCGCTGGCCATAAGGCATCTCCAAATTGTCTGTGCCAGACTCCCAAACGACTGGCGCCTATGACGGTCACTGCGTTGTCGCTGCCCTCACATCCTCCCGCAATATACATGCAGCCATGCTCCTCCCGGGGGGCGCACTGTGCTCGGCGTGGTCGTCGGTGCCCGCTGTACGCCCTGCAGTATGTGGCAACGTCGCCTCAGCAGGTGCGCTCATGGGCTGATCCGTCGCTGGGTCGGAGACCCTCTCCTGCCATTGTGTTGCGTCTGCGACAACGTCCCCGCTCAAAATCGCCCGTGTCCGCGGATGTAAACCGGTCAACCTAATCTGACTCGCCCGCATCGTCTGCGTCACTCTCCTCACGGTACTAAGACTTTTCCCTGCTCTCATCTTCTTCTTTTGTGACTGAGGAGAAGGAGACTCCTCGGCGGGTGTCAGCAAGGGGCCCCGTACCGCCTCTGCCGCGACTGTGCCCTCCACATATGCGGGTGTGCTGACACCTGTGGTGGACGATGGCACTGACGGGCTGCAAGGCACGTAAGCCGGGGCCTCTGCCATCAGTCTCCTCGACGCCTCGGTCATCTGCCTGCAACGGGTCCTCCCGTGCTTGCCGCTCCAACTCCCCCGCCGACATGGCCCCACCGAGAGGCAATACGCAAACACCCTGAACTGGCAACGCAGGTCTCTCGCCTGCATCCCCTATGCTCGCAGCACCGCACTCGCCCTCTGCATCACCTGCCTCAACGCCCGTCTCGAGCATCCGCGCTGCACGTGCCCTCAATCCAACACTCTGCGTCATCTCGCAACGGCTAGCCAACCCCTGCGCCCTCCTCCTCTCCTCGTGGTCGATCCTTTTCTGTTCTGACTCTGTCGCCCGCTCCTGCACAGGTCGACACTCCCCATCATCCCCACCTGCACGCTCGTGCTGCCCCCTCTACTGCCTCCTGCAACATGCTACTACTGATGTCGCCCGTGCTGCATGAAGGTATGTCACGAAGTATCTGACTGACGGGCGTGGCCGCTGCGTCCACATCGACACCGACACGCTCCCCTGCCGGTGTCGAAGGATGCCCTAACGAAACATAAAAAATGATGTCGCTGAAACTGACACCCACGTGTGGAGATGGCCTCCCAACCTCTCCAGCATCGCCACTACCACCCGCAAACCCGCCTGGACCCTCCGCAGTCGCCGCTGCGCCCTCTGCAGACGCCGCAGCGAACTCTGCAGGGGAGGGAGCAACCTCCATAGGGGAGGGAGCAACCACAGCTGCCTCAGCGCGCCTCTCCTCATCAACCCAATGCATAGTGCGAGTGGACGATGCACACTCTGGCCTTACTTTTCCTGTGCCAGCACGCCCTGCACCACCTGTGCGCCCTGCACCCCCAACACCCGGCCCGCTGCCTCCCCTGCCTGCACCACTGCATCGGTCGCCACGCTGTCTCTCGGACTTCCGCAAACCACCCACAGCTCGTCCACCGTCGCTGCCCTCGTCGTCGTCGTCGTCACCATGTCCGCGTGTCGGGGAATAACAGGGATCATCCTCATCCTCACTGTTGCCCTCATATCCCTCCCTATCGTCGCCATCGCCGTCGTCTCCCTCGTCGACACGCTCGCGAGTCCCTCCGACGTCCTGTTAAAGCTTGCTCTCGCCACCCCGTCGACCATGACAAAACCTCACGACCACATGCGAGTAATCACGCGACCCCCCCTGTCCAGACGCCGTAGCAACTGCATCACAGGCGTCATGAGCGCCACGATGTCCTCCACGTGCTCCCAGAATGAAGCGTACCGCACCTGATGACGCACCCATCTGGCCTGCAGAAAAATGGACCTCCTCCATGCAGTCCGCAGCCAATCCTCGCTCATCATCAACGCCTCCAACGCTCTGCGACGATCCAGCAGCCTCTCCAGCATCAAGTAGTGGGTGGCAAACCTCGTCTCCACAGGGTACACAAGCTCCCTGCCTCGCCGCTGAGACGAGGGTGGCGCAAAGCTCGAACCACCAGCCGCCGCGGAGGCGGAAGACGGGTGGGCGACAGAGAACCGTCGATAAAGGCTCAGAGCCGCCCCGTGCTCTCTGATGAAACGCACGACAGCTCAAGCCCTGATGATGGTGTCCTCCCTCTTCCCGAGGCTCCCGTCGCGCCCATCCTTCGCGATGTCTGACAACAACAAGTTGCAGACATGGACCGCACACGGAAGCCAAGTGATGCGGCTATACTTGACTTCCTCCTGGGCGAGGAGCTTGGACGCAGCAACATACGCAGACGCGGAATCAGTACAAATGGCGTTCACCTTGTCGACACCAAACTTGTCGAACACGTCCTTCCATCGCTCCACTACGGCCTCTGCTGTCTCCTGAACAGCACCATCCCACTGCACAGTCCTTAAAAGGTACGCGCCCGTGGGACCAGCAACAAGGAAGTTGACTATCTGGTCGCTCGTAATGGACTTGGGACCATCCGTGAGGATGGTTGCTCCCATCGCCTCAATGTCCCTGAGGATGGCCGCCACCATGTCCGCCACAACTCGCTGCTGCTGAGGGATGCCTTCGCACGAAATGACATGGTGCGTGGGTAATGCCGTATGTGCATACGGCGAACACTCGAGCAACTTCTTCCTCATCCTATGATACTCTGGCCTCCTCGCCGCCTCGAATGGGATGCCGCTCACGTACCACCACTGCAGGACGGAGTCCGAGAATTCTCGTTGCCACACTGGATCGAAGGTCTCCAGCATGGACGTTTGTCGAAGAACTCTGCTCTTTTTGGCCTGAGAAGGTGCTGATCTCGCCTCAGTGGTAGTCATCTTCGCCTTCCTCTTTCTCTTCTTCGATCCCGCAGCCTCCTTCATTGCCCTAGCTGCCCCCTCTTGGCCACGACGGCCATCGCCCATCAACCCCCCATCCAGAGAGGCCCCAAGGTCTGCTCCCTCATCGTCATCGTCGTCGTCGGTGTCCTCGTCAGGGGTGCTGTCCTCGTCAACGACCTTCTCCTTCCTCATCTTTCCCCTGGCGCGCTCCACCTCTCGCCGCATGTCCTCTGCATCACTCTCACCATCATCATCTCCACCCTCGACCGCCCTCCTCTCCTCCTCGCTGTCCTCAAACTCCTCATTCCCCGTCGGCTCCCTGCCCGATCCACATCTGTTGTCTCGCAACCCACGAGACTTCAGAAAGTCCACGATCTTCCGTGCATGGCTTGAATCGAACCCGTACTTTGTCTTGTTCCATATCTCTGCCATCTGCTCCATGGAGATTTTGGCGCAATTGTTCTTGATCGTGAAGTGTTGTGCGACTTTCGTCTAGCTCCCCTGAAAACCCTGACCACACAGCTTGCACTCCATGAGGGAATTGCCATTCGAATTCGGCATCGTCTGCCCCTTCGTAACCCACTTAAAGCCGCAAAACTTCAGCTCTGCCTCCCTCTGCTTGTCTTTACTGACCGGAACGAATGGCTGATCTCCCCTCCCTTTCTTTGGTGCCATTGTAGCGTTGCAGGTAGCCCACCGCCCACAAATGCCGAAGCGGAGCTCAGTGGACAGCGCCAAAGCCCGTCCTGCCTAGGCCTGTCCCCCTATACCCCCCCCCCAAACGGGCCCGACACTCGAAAACCCTGTCGGCGAGCACGGCACGACCACCGGCCCGTTTAGGCGTACGGGCCGTACGTATGGGACGCTGCGTACGTACGCTCGTACGGGCCGTACGTACGGGCGTGTGTGCGTGGCGTCCGCCGCTGCTGCGCCGCGTGCCCTCCCGGAGAGTTGGCCGCTCCCCTTGGTCGCGCCGCCGCTGCCGTCGCCGGAACCGTCGTCGTCGCGTTCGCCGCTGGCGTAGGTGGGATCTCTCTCTCTCTCTCTCTCTCTCTCTCTCTCTCTCTCTCTCTCTCTCTCTCTCTCTCTCCCCGTCTCTCTCTCTCTCACGCACACACACACACACACACACACACACACACACAAGAAATGAAGAATAAACCAATCTCTCTCTCTCTCTCTCTCTCTCTCTCTCTCTCTCTCTCTCTCTCTCACACACACACACACACACACACACACACACACACACACAAGAAGAAGTCTAGAAGAAGAAAAAGAAGAAGAAGAAGTCTAGAAGAAGAAGAAGAAGAAGAAGAGGAAAGCACGGTGGAGGGGAAAAAAATAAAACAAACGCGAAACAAGAAGAAGAACAAGAACAAGAACAAGAGTAAGAAGAAGTACAAGAAGAAGAACAAGAGAATGCACGGATGAAGTAGAAGAAGAAGAAAAAGTAAAAGAAGAAGAGGAAGAAGTAGAAGTAGAAGAAGAAGAGGAAGAAGTAGAAGTAGAACAAGAAGAGGAAACTCACCTCCTCCTCC